GTGCTGGGCAACCAGGGCGATTCCTGAGTTGGTGCAAGCCAAGGGCAACGGAGCAAGCTCCTAGTGGAGGCAGTATGAGAGCAAGTGGGGAGACGAGGCAGGGACTTGGAACTTCCAGAATCTTAAGACTCTCAAATCTCAAACAGCTAGAAACATAAACTGTAAATTCAAATCAGACTCTTAGGAACAGAAATCCTGCAAATGCAAGAACATCACATTCTAGATCACAGAACCAAAGTCGTGCTTGAACCTATAACTGTAGACCAGGGATCCAGCAAACTTTTTCTGTAAAGGGCCACATAGTAAATATTTTCTTTCTGTGAACCGGTGGTCTCTTTTGCAACTACTTTGCTCTGCCCCTGTAGCATGAAAGTCTCTGTAGAGAGCAGCAGGTGAATGGGCAGGGCTGGGTTCTGATAAAACTCTTGTCTGAAGAAGGAGGCAGTGAGCCATATTTGATCCACACTTTGTACATTTTGCTGAACCCAATTCCAGAGTATCACAATCATAAAGACTTTTGAGTACATGTAATTCAGGAGCTGTTATTTAAAGCAATTCCAGAATCTTTGTTTTTTAATACATCATTAAAGCATGCCCTACATACAGAGGAATGCACGGTTCAATGGATGTTATTCCAGCTTATGTAACAAATTACTGTACTCTAGGTGGTTTATAAACAACTGAAATTTATTTCTCATAGTTCTGGAGGCTGCACGTCTAAGATCAAAGTACCAGCATTGTCATGTTCTGGCGAAGAACCTCTTCCTGGTTCATAGGCAGCATCTTCTCACTCTGTCCTTACATAGCAGAAGGGGCGAGGGACTCTCTAGGGTCTCTCTCATAAGGGCACCTATCCCACTCACGGGGGTCCCACCCTCATGATCTCATCACCTCCAAAGGTCCCACTCACGATATGGGGCCTTTTGGTGGTTAGGATTCAACAAATGCATATGGTAGGGGAGACATATTCAGACCATGGCAATGGATTTGCATAGCCAGAGCCACCCACACACCCAGCACCCAGCTCAAGAAATACATTTCCAGCCTCCTAGAGACTATGCTCACAGTGCTTCACAGCTAGTCCTTCCCACCACAACACTATCCTAAATTATAGCAGCATAGATCCATTTGGCTGGTTTTCCATTTTATTTAAATGGAATCACACAGTATATTCTCTTTTGCATCTGACTTCTTTTACTCCACATGCCTGGAAGATTCACCCATATCAGTGCATGTAGAAGAGGCTTGTTCTTTTTCCTTGCAGCAGAGTATTCCAACGTGTGACTCCACTGCCATTTATCAGCCTAATTTCCTAATGCTGGGCATTTGGGCAGCTCTGGGTTTTGGCTACAATGAACAAGGCTGCAGCGAACAATCTAGAATGTGTCTTCTGATCAACATATGTACCCCTTTCTGTTGTACCTAGGACAATTCTAGAATCACGAACCACAAAATAGAAACTTGACATTCTAGAATCCTAGGGCCATAAAATCCTTGGCTCTTAGAAATACAGTATATGCAGAGTGGTGAACACACAATGTACAGATGATGTATTATAGAATTATACACCTGAAACTTATATAATTTTATTAACATCACCCCAATAAATTCAATAAAAATGTTTTGAAAAGTAGAAAAAAAAAAGATCTATAGCATATGTTCTCAATGGGCACACCACTCTTAAGGAGGCAAAAACTGGTTCTTGGGGAGAAAAGAAGATCTTACTCCTTCTATATATCAAGCATAGATATGTATAATACAAAAAACAGATTTACAGTATATCTATGGTATTAAAATTCTATGGGGGAACAAATTAAAATTTTTAAAAAGTCTCCTTAGGGGAGTGACAATAAAAATTGGCTGAAAAACACTGAAATAAGGGAGTGAATGATTCTAGAACCTTAGAACTGCAGTATCTTAATCACTTTAAATAGATAGGCTCTTAGAACTTTGCCATTTCAGAGTAAGAGCAGAGAATTCTAGAATCCAGAAGTGAAAGTCACCGACTCTCAAAGCTGAAAGGAACTCCCCAGATCAGCTAAGCCAGCTGCCCCGGTTTACAGAGGAGAAAGCTGGGGCCCAGGGAGGGTCAAGACGTGTCCAGTGACACGCAAGCCAGTGATGCAGACACTTTCTCTCAAGCCTGACTCACACGCCCCCCTCACTCTACATAATACCCATTTATGGATCAAACCCTGAGCAGGGGCAGGGGACCCAAGCTAACTCAGACAGGTCTCCCAGTCTCAGTGGCTCCTGGTGGCTTTGGGCACATGCCCCGCCCATCGGGCAGAGTGAAGCACCACCCTGGGTCCCAGCCCCAAGGGATGCCCACTGCTCTCCAGCCGGCAGGCCCCGCCCACTGCCCGCCTCCAGGGTGGTATGCTATGGCTGTCCTGCCAACCTCCACCCCTCCAGTGAGGAGGGGCCAATTACCAATTAGTGACTCCAGGCTGCGAGTTGTTTGAAGCTTCGAGGGAGCCGGTGGGCATGGGTCCAGCTCCACACAGTTGGCTTTCCCACCCCCAGACAGCTGCTTCGCAGTCCCCAGGGATTGCTGCCAACGTTAGAACGTGAAGATGAACGGGTTGAGGGTGCTGGGCTTCAGTTGCAGCAGAAGGAACCCTTGGCTGGGGTTCATGTCAGTTATAGACCTGGAAGCTTGTCCCCACCCCGCCATTCACTTGCTGTGTGATCTTGGGCAAGTAATTGGACCCCTTGTGATTAGGGTGATGGATGGAGGTCACGGTGAGGTGACTGCAGCTCTTGACCAGGATGATGGAGCACATGAGGAAAAAAAAAACCCAGTTGGCAATTATTCCACAATAATTGCCACAAGATGGGAATGTTAGCCTCATTTTTCAGAAGAGGAAGGAGACTTGGAGCAAGCACCTGCCCAAACTCACACAGCATGGCAGGTACAGGCACTCTGAGGTGCCACATAGGGTTCCCATGTGACCCTGAAGGATAAAGGAGGCTGGATGGGAAGATGAGCTAGAGGCTTCTCTGTCGGTGGCCCCGCCACCGATGGAACCAGATCTCTGGCTTCCCAGGTGAGCCTCGCCAGTCCTTCCTCCTATCCCACTCCTGCCCCTCTGTTCCCCCGCCCTCGCCCTTTCACCCCCGGATTCTTTATGCTGCCGCTGGCTGGGGAGCATTATCATCGAGCTGGGCACCTGGCTGTGGGGCCGCAGCTGTGGGGGCACAAAGACGCAGGCAGCAGCAGATGGCGCCTGAGGCAGCAGCGGATGGTGCCAGTCCATCCACTGGCCACCTCTCCTCCTTGTGGCGGAGTGAGGAACTGCAGCTGATGACAGAGATGGATTGTGTCCCTATCTACCCTTCTGGAGGGAGGGAGGTTGGGGCTGACAAAAAGAGGGGAGTAGATGGAGAAGGCTGCCCACTACATCCATGCTTTTCAGAAGCAGAGACGAGGCCCCCAGAAGTGGGCTGAAAAAAGCCAGGATCTCTTAAGAGACTGTCTCTTCTTTGCCTTTGTCGTCTCCCCTCCACAGGTAACGTCCTTTACAGCAACATCCTATACCGGCCCAGGGGGCCCCCAAAAGACTGAGTCATGGCTTATGGAGGGGAAGGTGCTGCACATCCCCAGGGAGGACCAGCAGGGCCATGGCTTCCATTCCATCTCGGTTCTCCACCCCCCACCACTCAGTAGCATCTGGCCCCCAAACCTTGCCCCCGCCCCAGGTCCAGTCACCCCATTTCTACAGGCAAATCTCTCCTGGCCCAGGCTCCACTGGACGTCCAAGATCAGGAGTGTTCCCTGAAACTGAGAGAGGCATCAGAACCCCTGGAGACTCAGAGAGGCCCCTCCAGTGGCTATGTGAAGATGGCTGGGCCGGGTATGCTCTCCCTCCTGGGAGCAGGCCCATGCCTTTCCCTCCTCCCCTCTCGCCCCACAGGCGTGCATCTCCTAAACACTAAGGGGCCCATGAGACTTGCAACCAGGGGAGCAATGGGCAGCAGACGCTCCTCCCAGGCTAACCCCCTGAACCTGTCTCCACAGCCCCCTTTTCTCTGACTTCTCAGTGAGCCAAAGCAACCCCACCTGGGCTCTCCTGTTGCTTCCTCTACCCTAAGCTCTTCCTTGTTTCACTGTCCCCAGCTTTAACAAAGTCAAGGGAAAAAAAAGAGAGATGTTTGATTGCAGGGGTGTCAGGGCGTCCAGCAGCCCACTCTGAGACCCATCTTCGTCTCTTTGACAGTGGGCCTCTCCCTTGCCCATCAGAACACCCTGTAAAGGGACATGAAGAAAGCAAAGCCAGACTTTGTGGCAATTGGGGGTGCTAAAGACATGTGAGAGGTTATCTGGGGTCCCAGGGCCCCCAGAGATGGCTGGAGAGGTCCACTGTGGCAAGAGGGCTGTGACAACTCACCAGCTTCCCCCTCTTATCCTTGGAGGGACATGTTCAATTAGCAGAGAAGGGATGCCCCCAGCCTCCAAATGGTGCCTGAGCTGGAAGTCCCCTCGCCAGCTGGTACCTCCCCCTAGGCACGCTTGGGGATGGGGGGCGAGGAGGGAGATCGGACTCCCTGGCATTTATCAGCATCTGGGGTCTCCTGCCTGACAGTCACCTTGAAGTGACACCAGCCGGGCTGGCTCCCCTCCCCCACCTCTGCTGTTTCCATGGGGACAGATGTCCTTTGAGCCGCAGCATCAGGCCTCAGCTGCCCGCCCTCACGTGGAGGAGGGGCTGGGTGGGCGGGGCTGGCCTGAGAGCCCTCTCTCCATTTCTCCATCATTATCTGCGGGTTTGCACTGTCTACAGCTTTTCTGAGTTTTGGTCCCTCCCTGAGAGCAATTCAGGCTCCAACCCCAGCTCTGACCCCAAAATGAGGAGCTGAGGATGCCCTTCTCCCTCCAAGAGTCAATCTTTTTCATCCTTCCTAGGGGCTGGGATCCCGGCCTCCCAGAAAGGACGCTTGAAATACGTAATAACTTATTTATTTTCCAGGACAGAGTAGGACTTTCAGACACAATCCCAGACCCTAGAACCCAGCAGGGGACTGAGAGGGCAGCCCTAATGAAGACCCAGGGCCTGGAAGGGTAGGAAGCCTTTCCCTTGGGACTTGAAAGACCTCCAGCGTTTGCAGCCAGTGAATCTCAGGCTCACGGAGCAGGGCAAGGGGCAGAGGCTGCAGGGCAGGGGCTCTGGGTGACCACGGGGTAGAGCAGGGCCAGGTGCTCAGCGCCCTGCACGGGCAGTGGGCGTGAGCTGTAATGGAGCACCAGCTCGGGCACGCTGGCGAAGGGGCCGCTGTGCTGACCCAGCACCAGCTGGTTCTCTCGGGTCCGTGCAAACTTCAGATGCAGGAAACCCTGGCTGCTTCTGGAAAACGAGGTCACAGGGGGCCTTGAGCACTCGAGACAGACTCCAGCATGCTCTCCAGCCCTGAAGTCACCCCCTCATGGCCCCTGGGAGCGGGGTGGGGTGCGGGGCTGGTATCTCCAAATATTTCTGGTAAACAGCCAGTTGGTGCCAAAGTGTTGGCTTGCTCCACGCAGCAGAAATGTCTTCTATGCTTGTCCCCTATCAAGGCAGGCTGGAGACCCTGCCAGAGGACAGTCCCTCCCCTAGAACACAAACTGCACTTTCTCTCCCAACCTTCTGATCCCTCCTGGCCTTCCTACTAGTTAACCCCCAGTCTGGGGTTCCTTTCCTTTCTCCCTCTCTCTGGTGGGTGGAATAATGGAGAACGTGGGGATCATTTTATCAACATCATTATTATGAGTCAAGTACTTCCTGTTTCTGGGGCACTATTTTCAACATTTTTTCATATTTTTTCCATTTAATCATTGCAGTATCACTGTGAAGTTGATGCTATTATCCTCCTTTCATAAATGAGGAAACCAAAGCTCAGAGAGGTTGAGCAATTTAGCTTTGGTCACACAGCTAGAAAGTGGTAGAGGCTGGATTTGAACCTGCCTCCAAAGCCCTCTTCAACCTTGGCCTTTTAGGAATCTCACACTCAGATGCCTAGTAGAATCTTAGGAGTGTTGTATAATCAGACACACTTGGACTCTTAGGCAGAGAAGCACGTAGAACCAGGGTCTCAAACTCAGATGCCTACAGGGCCATTCAGATTCTGGCCCCAGACAGACACAGAGAAATATGCTTTAATTTTTGGATTAGGGGAGTCCAAGGAAAGCTGGCATCTGGTTCCCCGTCTCACCCAAGTCCTGGATCTACTGTATGGCTTCCACTCCATCTTCTTGCATACCTACCATGACAGGGAGTTCATTCTCAGTAGGAACCTTGCCTGTGGTCTTCCTGGAAACCCCACTCACAGGTCCCATAAGTACCATCCATTGGCCTGGAAGCCCAGCCCCACTGGCTGCTGGAGCGACATCCCTCGGCTCCCACTGAATAAACCCCAAAACCTGATGCATGCAGTCCTGTGACCTTCTGTCCCTCGAGGAGGCTGGGGTCTCACCTGAGGGACAGGGAGCAGTCCTGGGGGCTGGTCTCACTGAGCCGCACAAGGTAGCTGCCTTCCTTGCAGAGCAAGAGGAGGTTCTCGGCATCTGCCCGGCTCAAAGGGCCATGAAACCACCTGGGGTGTGGGGGCAGATGTCTCAGGAAGGGTGACCCCCCTTCAAACACAACCCGGGGTCTGGTGCAGGCACAGCTGGTTAAAGGACTTTTGACCTCCAGGCAATCAAAAAAAAAAAAGACCTTGAGTTTCTCAAGAGGAGCCTGGTTTCCGCAGGGAGGCAGCTGAGCCCAGGCCACTGTGGAGCTGTTCCCACCAATCCAGCAGTTACTCCTGGCGCTGATCTCAGCCCCCCTGGGGCTGGGTAATTCAGCCCCCTGCCTAATCCCCCAACTTGAATCACTTGTGTATCACTTTCATGAGATTGCCACAGCCTGCATCCCCACCCACCTGTACTATCCTTGACTTAGTATTTTCCTTTAACACGCTCAAAGAGAGGTGGCAGTTGTGAGCAAGGTGTCAGAGACAGGTGAGCATCAGGGACTTCGTGGTTGTTTGTATGGAAAGAAAATTGAAGAGAATAAACTTCTCACCCTGCAATTCAGGGTTAATTAGCCAGGTATTGCCCACCTACAAGCTTTGGGAATGGCCGTGATAAATAGCCTCAGGGCTGGGATGGGGCAGCACAGGGCTCAGGGAGTCCCTCAAGGACTCCTAGGCTGGGGGGACACAGGGAAGACCCAAACCCTTCCAGCTTGTGTGCCTCACCCCAGCCCAAAGTTGGGGCCCCCTCAAAATCCTCTTCTTTCCGGTTCTACCCCAGTCCTGTCCTGGGGGTGAGGATGATTTCTGCCTCTTTGTTCCCAGGCTTATAAGCTCCACTCAAGTGAAGGGAGGAAATTCCCTTTTACTCTGTTTGAGCTAGGTACCTTCTTGGGGGTTTTAAGCCCAAGGCTCAGTTAAGTTAAGTGACTTGCTCAAGGTCACACAGCCAGGGAATACAGAGCAGGGATTTGAATCCAGAATCTGATGCCAGAGGAAAGTGAGACTCCACCTGATCTGCTTTGCACCTAACTGCGTGGAGGGGACACAGCAAGGGCTGGTGCCCAATGAAGATTACTTGAAGAAATGAATGACTGAATGAATAGATTAAGTTCTTCCAGCCCCACCCTAGTCCAGGGAATCTGTAGCTGGAATGGGGCTGGGAGAGATTCCACCCAGCTCTTTCATGTTCGGTTTCCTGACTCACGGCTGTTTCTCCAAGGGCAACGCAGGGTCCACGCGCTCTGCGGGATGGGGACTTCTGGGCGGGGGCCTCCGGAGCTCCTTGGCTGAGCCTGGGGTCCTTTCCCACTCTGGACTGTCAAACTGCACTGGAGGGAGAGGGTTAGAGAGCAAAGGTTTAAGTCCAACCAGGGAGGGGGGAATGGGGGTAAGCCAATGGAATCTCAGTAGAAAGGAGGTACCAATGGAATCCAGAAGAGGAGGGTTGGGTTTATGGCTGGGGCAGAATTGGTATAGGACCAACCAATTGGCTTTCAGAAGAAAGCAGGGGAGGCCATCATCCGTAAGTCAGGTGTCACAGATGGGCAGAACAGCTCCATGGGTGACAAATCAGGGAGCAGTAGGCATGGCTAGAGTGGTGGGTTGGAAGTTCTGCCCCATTCCAGGCAAATCATGGAACTAGAAAACAACCCCCAATACACAGACAAGTAAACTGAGGCACCGAGCCCAGATTCCCCTCCTGCTCATACAACATATGTGGAAAAGCTGGGTTCACACGACTCTTCCTGATCCAAGCTATTTTATTTCTTGAAGCAGACCTATTGTTACTGCTTTCATAGAAGCAAAAACTGAGATTCAGAGACTTGTCCAAACTTACCCAAGTCTACCTGGTAACAGCTAGTAAGAAAAACTACCCTCTCCCCAACAACACCTATGCAGTTTGAGCACTTTATAGCACTCAATTTCCAAGCACCAATTCAGTAGGTATCATAAGGCTCCCCATTTTACAGGTAAGGAAACTGAGACACAGGGAGATAAGATGATTTGCCCAAGTAAGTGACAGAAACCCAGATCTAGTCTAACACCAGGGCCTTTCCCTGCACTATACTGAGCAGAATGAGTAGCTTCTACTGCACTCTAAGAGGTGTTTCTGTTTCCAAGGAAGATAGTTTCTTCTGGGAAGAGAAATTTATGACTATCAGTCATTCACACTTTAGTGAAAACTAAAATGGTTGATAATTGGGGTCTACTTTGTAAGTCGAAACAGGGGATGGGACCAGGGCAGGAGCTAGAGGGACTCAGGCACTTAGACATCCGGGTCTGGGTTGGAGAAGCACCTGCAAATGCCTTGGAGATGTGGTCTTTCTTCCACTCCCAGGGCTGGTCATACTCATCCGCTGGCCGTTCATCTTCCTGGGGCAGCCGGCTCTGTCGAGGCTTCTGCCCTGAAGGAGGTCTGTCTCCTGGCTCCCCATCCTGCTCCTCATAGGGAGTGTCATACAGCTGCACTGCCCTGAAAGGCAGTTCTGGGAGACCAAGGGCATTGGTCAGGTCCCACTCCCACCTGGGCCCCTGTAATCCTCCCCCAAGGTCTGCTCACTCACCGCTCACGACCCGCTGGGCATCATAGGGTTCCATGTAGCCATCATCTGGGGGTGGCGGATGAGGCTGGGCATCAAAGGGGTCGGAGTACTCGGTGTCAGCTTCCGACTGGGGAGAGAAGGAAAGGAGGGGTACAGGCTGAGGGAGAGCAAGCCTGGCTCTGGATACGCCCTGCTGGGTGAGGGTCCCCCCTCTGCCTTGCCCTCTCTGGGCCATCTGACACATCCCCTCCCAGCCGTTCTCTTTGTGTGCGTGTGGGTGGGCGGGGGTTGGAAGTCTACCACCCACAGATGTTTACAAGCAGATGCCAGCTTCCCCTGCTCTCTTCCTTCATGCTGCTCTGATCCTCCCCTATTGAGACTCTCTCACTTCCCTCCTTCAGTAATTTTAATGTTTATCAGCTGCTAGCATTGTTTTAAATGCTTTACATATATTGTCATATCAATCCTCAGTAAGCACATTATTTACATTTTACAGCTGAGGAAACCAAGGCCCAGAGAGGGTAAGTGACTTGCTCAAGGTCACAGAGCTAGGAAGAGGCAGGATGTGATTCCAGGCTCTCTGAGTCCCTGTTTCCTCCTCCCTTTCTATGTGCCATCAGTCAAACACAGCCTCTCCTAACCCTCCCCAAATCCTTCCAGCCTCCACTGAGGGATTGCAGAGATCCTTTAAGAAAAATACTACAAAAAGCATGGGCATTGGAGGCAGGACTGGGGATACAGCCATGTGACCTCAGCAAGTTGCTTCTCTTCTTTCCTGTGAGCCTCAGTTTCCAATTCTCTGAAATGGGAATAATAACAGAGGGAGTTCAAAGAGCAGCGGTAAGGGTAAGGATGTGTTAGTGCCCAGCGGGGGGGTGAACCCCTCAGATCTGCTTTATGAAGATCCCTCCAGCTGCGAAGAGAAAGGGAAGCTGGGGGAAGGAAACTGGAGAGGAAAGTCAGGGAGGGGAGGACAGGAGGACAAAGCAGGGCGGTCAGAGAGGTAGGTGTGACCAGCACTGTGCATTGACAAGGGACAGATCAAACTTCACCCAGCAGTCAAGGACTGGGGAGTGTCCAGCTGGCACCCTGGCCTGTCTCTGGGGCCACACATTAAACGTGCTCCCCAGAGTCTAGGGGCCCAGCCTGGCCCTCCTCACCCAGTCCCCTGAGGCCACCCAGCTTCCCACACTCAGCCACGCACCTCTGCCCCTGCACTGCCCAGCAAGACCTTGGTTCTGGCCACGTCTGCCATGTCGGCTGTCTCCACCTTGATGAGTCGGTGCTTGGGAGAGTCATACTTGGAGTCCCCTGACCCCGTGGGGTCTGGCTCCAGGCGGCTGTCCGCGTCCTCATAAGGGTCCTCGAAGTCCAGGTTCTTCTGCTCCAGGTAGGCCCGCAGGATGTCGCTTTCCGTGTAGTCGGGAGTGGGTGGCTGCGGAGGGGGCCTCCGGCCACCAAAGCTCAGGTAGTCCCGTAGCCACTTGGCCATTTGGGCCCGCGTCACCCCAAACCTGGCTACTGTCAGAGGAGGACCCACATGCCCTCTTCCGGGCCCCCTTCCTCTGTAGAGCCCCCAGGGAGGAGGAGGAGGGGTGGAGAAGAGAGGAGGAGGAGGAGGAGGAGGAGGAGGAAGGGGGGAGTAAGAGAAGGAGGAGGATCAGGTGTGCCCCTTGGCTGGGCTCAGGAAAGGGTAAAAAGGGGAGGAAAAGGAGGAGACAGAGGAGGGAGGAGGCGCAAGATCCCACCTTATCCCGGCTCTGAAGGAACCGCGCGAAAAGGGGTGGCCTCGCAGCGCACCGAACGCTGTCCGCGCGGCCGTCCGGCCAGGGCGAGGGGCAGCCACGGACGCGCGCGGAGTTTCCGCGGGCAGCGAGGTCTCCGTGTGCAACTGGACCACCAGCCGCCGCCGGGAAGCTCCGGGATCCCTTCCGGGGGTTCAGGGGTCGAGGAAAGCGCCTCCTGCGGACGCCCCCAGCCCTGGCTCAGCCCAGATCCCTGGGTTCTCAGGGCAGCGGGCGGGCTCCCCTGGGACGCGGGCGCCCCGCCCAAAGTTGGGCCGCCGGGGCCGCGACCCGCGACCCCGCTGCGGAGCGTCCTCCGTGGCGCTCCCCTCCGCTCCGGGGGAGCCACAACCCTCCGGCCCCCAGCCCTGCCGCCGCGATCCGGCCCCAGCCACCGGCACAAAGGGAAATAAAACCTCCTGCAATCCCCCTTCACGTTTTCGAAGCGACTTTACCCGCCGCCGCCGGCGCGCGGCCCGGGGCGGGACCGTGGGGAGGGGGCGCGCAGGCGGACGCCCCAGACCCCACCGGCCTCCGGCCGTGTCCGGGGCAGCAGCGTCAAGGCTTCTCCGCCTCCCCCTCCGCGGCTTTCCCCACTCACTGCCCTCCTCCTGCGTCCCCCCTCGGAGGTGACTGAGACCTTCAGCTGTTCTGGGGAGGGAGGGGACCCGCTGCCCACGAAGGAAGGGGGGATCAGAGGCCGCGGCAGCTGGACACTGACCCGGCGGGCCGAGGCTTGCGGGCGGGAGCGAGCGAGGAGCGCGGGAGCAGGGAGCCGGTCGGGCTGACCTTCAGGAGTGCGAGAGGTGCAGCGGAGGGGTGGGAACAGGGAGGGAGGGAGGTGGAAATTGGCCAGGAAAGGGGGGGCTGGACTGGACCACGGGACGGGGCAAATTGACCAGCAGAGGGGGTGAGAGTGACCACTACTGAGGGCTGAAATTGAACCAGGGGGCGAAACTGACCAGGAGACTGGAGGTGTGGAAATTGTTGCGGAGGTCACCGGCGACAGCGATTTTGTCGCAGCTGAAGAAAGAGAGGCAAGGGAAGGGACGGGGGTCTGGTTTCCCCTCCCCCAAGAGGGCTTCTCTCTGTATCCCGCTCCCTAGGGGGACTAATTGTAGGACGGGGGAAGAGGGTTGGGGCAGCTGGCCAGGGGAAGGAAGATGGTATCTGTGCCTGGCGAGTGTCCTCAGCATCTGTCCCTTTGTGGCTTCCGGGGGTGGAGGCAGGGAGGGGGACAGAGATGAGAGGGGTCTCGCCAGGCCAGGCTGCCTGCTGGCAGCCGCAGCTGTCTGGGGGCGCGGACACTAAGGGGTTTGTGGAGGACTTAGAACAGGCAAAGGGGGCTTCTGGCCACTTCCAGGGCAAACACATTTTGTCTTCGCCTATAAGAGGGCTTGCTCATTTCCCCTGATATTGGAATAAGAAAGGGGTGGTCAGGAAGGATGGGACCCAGCTCCCCAGTGTGGGCAGGTACCTATGGCTTGGAGGGCCGGACAGAAGTCAGAGCTGACAGCGCTGGGAGCCGCCCCTGAGAACAGTGGGGCCAGGGCTGTGTCTGTGCCACTTGCACCTTGCTTTCCCGGCTTGAAAAATGGGGCATCTAATAGGAAACCCCCAAAGAACTAGTGGAAGGATTGCCAGAGTTTCCTGATGGGGAAACTGAGGCACGGTGCAGCAGAAGGACTTGCTCAGAGCCACCCTGCAGCTCTTTCTCCCCAAAGGCCATGATATGACCTGCCTTGGGGTGGCATTAGAGGCCCGCCAGAGTCTCTTTATGGAATCAGTGGTTCTCCATCTCCCCTCCACTGCTAGCCCCATTTTCCAGATGGGAAAACTGAGGTCCAGAGCTGACAAGGCAAAGCAGAGGCTTGCTTCTCCTTGTCCTCCCCCGCTTTCCTACTTTGGCTGTGTGGCCCAACACAAACCTGTTGAACTCAATCCTCCCTCCTGAAGCACATTCACTCAGCAATCCCCCACACCCTGCCTGCTCCGTTCTGATCAGTGACAAGGCAGCCTCCCTGGGGACTGCCTGGCGGGTAATAGTCCTGTTTTCTGTCAGCCACCAGGTAATTCCGGGCTCGGCTCAGGGATGAGCTGATGACAGATCTCATCAAATCCGAGTCCTCACCCTGTCAGATAAATACGAGGAGCCTGAGGTATAAATATTTGAAAGGGGCCTTCTAATTACAGCGTGTGTCAGGAATAGCAATGAGAGGCCCCGAGGCAGAATCAAACGGCATTTGACTTTCCTTCGCTTTTGAGCTGGCTTCTCCTGAGGCTGCCCCTCCGCCACAAGGCAGGGCCGCGCGCGGAGGGGGCGCAGGAAGGAGCTGGAGGAGGTGGGCTGGAGAAGAGGCAGGCAGGGGTCCGGCGACCTTGAGATGTGTCCTGTAGAGCCACATAACTTCATGGGTTTGGGTTTTCTGATTGGAAAGGAGGATGCCCAGGAGCAATGCCTGGAGCGGGGCAGTGGCTGGACAAAGGCGGGGAGGCTGGTAGGTGGTCTGGGGTCTGGGCTGAGGGGGCCTCCCTTCCCCCAGCACTTCCCCCAGGCAGTTCTACTGGGGCTCCTCCCACCTGGCCTGGGGCAGGGCTTGGGGCTGCTGTCCCATCTTTGATCTGGGAGCAGGATGGCTAACCTCTGTTGAGCACTTACTGCCTGGCACTGTTTGGGGCACTTTTGCTTTTGAGATATAATTCATATACCCTATAATTTATCCACTTAAAGTGTACATTTCAGTGGGTTTTAGTACGTTCAGAAGATTGTGTAACCCTTACCACTATCTAATTCCAGAATATGTTACCACCCCAAAATTAGCAGTAATTTTTTTATTCTCCCCAAATCTCCAGCTCATGGCAACCATGAATCCACTTTTTGTGTCTGTGGATTTGCCTAGTGTGGACATTTCATATATATGGAATCTTACCCTCTGAAGCTTTCTGCATCGGGCTTCTCTCGCTGAGCACCGTGTTTTTAAGGCTCATCCACATTGTGGCGCGTGTCAGAGCTTCACTCCTTTTCATGGCTGAGTGATATTCCAGTGCATAGAGCAAGTAGGTGCTCAATATATGCCTAGGGTGGATGGGAACTCAGGAAGGAGCAGGACGGGGACCCTGCCTGGGGGCTATGCCCACCTCTCTGTTCCCCCTGGAAAACCAAATATGGAGTGGGGATGGGAGCCTGAGGACCAGGACAGAGGGGACAAAGAGCAGATGGCTCCCTGCTGTTCTGATGGAGGAGCCATGGCTCTGCCTTAGGAGCTCCTAGTCTGATAGGAGAGAGAATCTGCCCTCAGAAGCTCATAGACATAACCATGCCTTTCTTAACACACAGTCTGATGAGAGAGACATGGTCTTGCCTTCAGAAGCCCCAGTCTGACGGAGGATGTACGTGTTTGCCTTAATACATCCTCAGTCTGAGAGGGGAGGCACGACCCTGCCCTCTGAAGCACCCAGTGTGATGGAAGGCATGGCTGTGACTTCAGGGGCTTCTGATCTGATGGGAGATCCATGCCCTGCCCCTGACAAAGAAGCCACAAACTTATCCTGCCTTTTGAAGTACCCAGTGTGATGGATGGAGGAGACATAGCTCTGATTTTACAGGAAACCAGTCTGATGGGGGAGGCATGAGCCTGCCTCCGGAGGTCCCAGTCTGATGGGAGAGGCATAGTCCTGTGGCTATGAGTCTTCCACCTGGTGGGGGAGGCACAGCCCAACTCCTGGAGATCGGATCGATGGAGCGTGGTGATCAAGGGTGCAGCCCTGCAACCTTGCAGTTTCCGACCCAGGCCCTGCCCTTCACTAGCTCTAAGCCCTTGGAGCCTCCCCACTCTGCAAAATGAGGCGGCAGTGGAGCGTGTGCCCGGGGAGTGGGCAGTGCGCTCCGGTGTGGAGGGAGTTTGGTGTAGCACCTGGGCCACCGTGAGGGCAGCCCCTCAACGCCTTTGTGAAGCCCAGGCTCCCGTAGGAGTGCGCGCTGGCAGGAGGGGCGGCCACCCGCTACCCCAGTCCCTCTGATGTGCTCCAGCAGCTACGCAGTCCCCAGGGGAGCTGATGGAGATTCTGGATGAGGCCCCACAGCTCCCGAGGACCAGATGACAGACACGGAGCTCTTGGGAAAAGGGGACTGTCAGCAGTGAGGGGGGAAGGGTGGCCTCCAGAGAGCAAGTGTGTGTGGGGGGGTGTTCCAGGGGAAGAGAGGGGAGGGCGGGAGTGGAGGCGGGGGCGGGGGAGCAGGCAGAGGCCCACACGACAGACCCCAAATGTGTTGCTGTCCCTCTGCTTGCTCGGTCCTAGGAAGCCCCGCAAGGAAGTGGGGGCCAAGAGCAAAACTGCTTGCAGATCATGGGGCCGGAGAAGGAAGTGTAAACGCCTGAAGGGCAAAAAGAGTGAAAGGAACACTGCCAGTGGCAGATGGAGGGGGGGGGGAAGGGGGTGGCACAGGCAGAACCAAGGGCCTCCCTGGGCCTCCATTCCCTCATCCGTGGATGGGGAGACACCCACTCAGTCAGGTCACAAACATTGACTGAACACCTAAGTGTTTGGATGGTTTTAGGAGCTGAGAACATACTCATCAACATGGCACCTACCCTGGCAAAGTTCATTGTGGACTTCGGGGAGGGTCTGGCATCAGGTGGCCCCCAATGACCCCAGCCTCCTGGTGGTGACGCCCATGTGCAAGCCCCTCCCCTTGGACGTATGTGGCTGTGTCCTGAGACTTGCTTCTAATTAGTGGAACGTGGCAAAGTTGGAGTCACTTCCAGGAGACTCTCCTCCTGTGCTGGTCTCATAAAGCAAGACAATGGAGGGGTCCGTAGGCAGGGAACGGGGGCAACCTCTGGCTAAGAGGCTATGTGTCAGGACCTGAATTCTGTCAGCAACCACATCGTGAGCTTGAAAGCAGACCTTGTCCCCTTAGGCCTTCACAGGGTGACCCCAGGCCTGGCTGACATCTAGGTTACAGCTGTGAGGGACCCTGAAGCAGAGACCCCAACAAAACCATGGCAGAGTCCTGTGGTTTTAAGCTGCTAACTTGGGATAATCTGTTATGTAGCACTAGATAACTCATACAGGGAGAAACAGGCAGGAAACACACCTCCTAAAGGCTCCCCCTCAGAAG